ATTTCAAAAAAAAAAAAAAAAAAAAAAAAAAAAAAAGTAATTAAAAAATCAAACTGTGCGTTTGTGTACTGATTTCCCTAAAGAGATAAATTTAATGCTAGTAATTGTAAAATTAATTCTACGGGGAGTAGAATCAAATGACTATTGATGGCCGCTGACTGTAGATAAATTAAAATTAATTTTGTTTTTTTTATAGGACCTCTTGTGAGTCCGCGCGGGTAGGTACCACCACCCTGCCTATTTCTGCCGTGAAGCAGTAATGCGTTTCGGTTTGAATGGTAGGGCTGCCGTTGTAACTATACTTGAGACCTTACAACTTATATCTCAAGGTGGGTGGCGCATTTACGTTGTAGATGTCTATGGGCTCCAGTAACCACTTAACACCAGGTGGGTTGTGAGCTCGTCCACCCATCTAAGCAATAAAAAAAAAACACTACTTATTTCAAATAAATAAATAGAGGTGAAAATCTAGATTCCCTATTATAAAATTTAAACAAAGTACCTATTGTATTGTATAATGAATGGAATTTAAAGTCGAATATTAAGGAAGTCGAATACGATATTTCCAAGGAAGTCGAACGCGTACAAAGATAGCCCCCTTTTCTTCGAGCTCTAAAGGGGATAAATGTATTCTGTTGGCTTGTTTATGTCTATTATTCTTTATATTACCCACTTGCCGTTGTAGAATTAAACTTGTAGGTACAATTAATATTATAATGTCTTTAGTTTTCAACAAATCTTTAATAACATAATATTTTTATTATTTCATAATAAAGGACAAGACTTTCTACAAATGTTGATATTAGTACTTGAGGGTGCTGTACTAATCTATACATATAAATAAAATTGGAGTGTCTATTTGTAACATTGAAAAACCGCTTTTTACTACATGCATATGAAATACACCAAAATAACATTTTTTACAATTTTTGTCTGTCTGTCTGTTTGTTCCGGCTAATCTCTGAATGGCTGGGTCGATTTTGACGAAACTTTCACTGATAGGTAGTTGATGATATAAAGAGTAATTTAGGCAATTTTTTTGTACTAGCTTCGCCCCGCGGCCTCTACCGGTAACATCGCGGGACTCAGTTATCAATAATAAAATTTAATGTTTCCAAAGAGAAATGAGGGCGGGTCGCTAGTCTATAATAATAATATAACATTCATATTAAGTCCCACCTCTTGCGAGAGGTCCTGGGTTCAAATCCCGACGTACCCCCAAAATGTAGAATAGGGATCGCAGCGCATAAAATAAAACTTCCACTTTTTTTTATTTTTTTTTTATTGCTTAGATGGGTGGACGAGCTCACAGGCCACCTGGTGTTAAGTGGTTACTGGAGCCCATAGACATCCACAACGTAAATGCGCCACCCACCTTGAGATATAAGTTCTAAGATCTCAGTATAGTTACAACGGCTGCCCCACCCTTCAAACCGAAACGCATCACTGCTTCACGGCAGAAATAGGCAGGGTGGTGGTACCCACCCGCGCGGAGTCACAAGAGGTCCTACCACCAGTAATCACCAGTAACCACTGTCCCATAATCTTCTGTTATTATATTATATTAGCTGAGTCCCGCGATTCTACCCGTGGTTATTGTCGTACCGCGGCTGACGCTAAGCGGCAATTAGTATTAGAACTATTAGACTAATTAGTAAGTTAAGGAATTCAACAGTAGTAGCTGGTGAGGAACATTGATGAGGAACTAAATCACCATCTAATCTTAATTGTAGATTCAAGGTTAATGGTATTAGAACGTTGTGGGAGGTATTTGGTAATAGGCGTGGTAGACTGCAAATAGCAGTTAGTTACTTAGTAATATGATTAATAAATTAAAATTAAGCTCTATCTAATTATTGCGGAATCAAATAAAGCTATATTATTATTATTTATTATTATTATTAAATATGCAAATATGTAATATAATTACAGTCAGAATGCAGAATGTCAGAAATGCTATTTTTAATAAAGTATTAAATCACTGTTAAAAATATACAAAAAATTTGGTGCACTATCTTAATATGCAGTTAAATGTGGTAAAATATGTATTTTGTAGATATTTAGCTAAACTGACCTTACACGGGGCGTATCAATGTATACTATAACACTTTAATGTTTAGGTGCTATTTTATTTTGCATGAAAAATAGAATAGGTTTTGCTAAGGTTTGATTTTCATAACTAACTAATGGGTTCTTATGGAATAAACAAAAAAAATATATTCAATTATTTCTCGTATCCCCTCTTTATGATATCCTTTCAAAAGACATTCCCCGGCCTATTAATATTAATTCTTGATTAACTTTAGTCTATTTTAAACATGTAAATATTCTGTGTAAATTGTTATCTGCTGATATTATTCATCTTTAAAGTACCTAGTTAGGCTTCTTAAAACAAGAAAAATTTGAATTCTCGTCTTTTGCTTAAGTTCTTTACGCATTTTGAAATTTTTCAGATCAACAGAGTCACGTTCGCTCCGTTGGTCGTATCGACGCTTTTCATCCTTCTGACGTCACTGCTGGCTCATTGCGCCAGGCGGCTCGTTCACAAGACTATTAACGAGCCATTCGTTCGATTGCTATTCGAAGAACTAATAGCAGCGGCTGAGCTATGTGGGTGTTGCTTCGAGTTGATTGTGGGTAAGTAGAATCTGGACGTCATTATCATCACAATACGAGTATACCCCACTTTTTTTTTCTATACCTAATCGTTGGTAGCCTAAGGGCCTTTTTTTTGCCCCGAGTGCCGAACCTCCTACCTGGTCTCCGCGCCTAGGGGGCGTGCAGGGTATGTGGGATTGGTCCGCGACTGCGAGACCGTGGGCCCAAGGAATTTTAAGTCCCTACCGCACTAAACGACTCCCCTGCACTCGACGTCCGATCTCCGTCCGGGATCAGAACCCAGTCAGAGTAGGGGTGTTCCCGCGGTCAACACTACAACCAGACACGCGGCTGCCAGGTCGGAATGCGATACAAGGCTGACCGGGTTAGCCCAAGGGGCTATTAAAATTTCGCGCGGAGGTAGATCAACCTGAGGATGGATTAATAAATTGATTTTTTTTAGTAAAACAAAACCTTTAAATTTTAATTTAATTCGAAAACAGCAAAGTAATGTGCGCACGGAATATAATCACAATATTTTACTATAATTATATTTGTATTATATATACTTATTACCCTTATCTAAATACTGTACTCTATACTATTTTACATCCGATTGACTTAAATAAACACACTGAAGATTTCTGTACTAAAAGTAATAAGTTTTGCGTGTTTTCTTCATCAGTTGCAGATAATTTCGGTGTGGCCACGTACGCGATTTTCTTGTTCGCCCTAACGATATGGTGGTCTGTGAACTGGGGCGACGCTACTGCCTGCCCTTACACGCATATCGAAGACGTCATTGAAGGTGTGTGTATTATCTATATATCTATCATCATATATCTCTATATATAAAAATGAATTGCTGTTCGTTAGTCTCGCTCTAAAACTCGAGAACGGCTGGACCGATTTGGCTAATTTTGGTCTTGAATTATTCGTGGAAGTCCAGGGAAGGTTTAAAAGGTAGATAAATATAAAAATGCTCGGAATGAAATCAAAATAACAATTTTGTTTTTCCTTTGATGTGTCCCCCGTCGGACGGATTCCTTTTGTTTGTTTAAAGCTTAGGTCTTTTATTTATCGATTGAGGCACTACGAAGTCTGCTGGGTCAGCTAGTAAATACACATGTGTATTGCTGGAACTTAAACAATTCCTCACAAACCAAACCTCTTCCTCATAACGGAAGCTCATGCTGATAGAAAGACATACATAATCCTTTTTGTATGTATCCATATAAGAACAATGTACCGGAGGGGTAAAAGTTAGGTAAAGGGGTAGTTTAAGCGCCATTTTTGCAAATTTCCAGGAGAGCTATTTCAAGTTTAAAATTTGGATAAAATATCATGACAAAACAACTTCTTCAGCTACAAATAGCTCTCTCCGCTCTCCATTAAAAAATGGAGTAAACATAATTGAAGTTCAATTAAAGACTATTCATAGTAATACCAAATAAAACGGATCTTTAATTACAAAGATAAATGTGGCGCATTAAACGAAATGTCGCTTAAACCGAATAGCCTTTCATCTTTTTCGCCTTTCGCCTTTAGCCTTTATATATATTTAGATCATTCAGAGTTGTTGGGAATTTGACTTGCGCGGTGTCCATTGTCTATATCAGATTTGTCATCTTCTTTCAGGCAAAGGTGATATTCGCAAGGCCCTTCTCAAGACTTGGGCTGAGTTGACCGGAGGTTTGTTGGTCTTTAAGTACGTTCAGTTGTATTGGGCCCTCGAAATCTCCGAGACCCATAAAGACAAAGCCTTTGAGGAGTGCAGGGCTGATCTGCAGGTTAGTGTATATTATGTATTTTAATAACTAATATAAATTACGACGATGATATTATACCTATATAATTTGATATAGCAAAGTAGCAGTTTCAGATAATTAGGTATTGGCCTGATGCAAATTGTATAAGGGGGATTTTGAACTCAACAGAGGACCTTCTATTTAACTATCAAATAATTAAATACTTTTAAAAAAGTACGGAAATATAAATATTTTAATATTTCGGATCGCATCGCTTAGTGTTGGTATATTATTTCGAACGCGTTCTAAGCATTGACATCTTTATACAAAACAGTGGGCTCTTCTGCGTCTAGCACAGAATTACGCTTAAAACTCCCTTATTGTTAAGCGGATTGATGGCTTTTATATGTAATAATGAAAATAGGTTAAAATAATAATAATTGAAATAAGTTAGATAAATACATGTAAAAATTTAATAACAATAATAAATTTAAGTTCAAAACTTAAAATAATAATATTAATGAATACCACACCGTAAACTTCTCGAGATTCAATCATATTGTAATGACTAGTACATCTACTTGTAATGGTCGTACGTCTTCGACCTCACATCTTAAGGTTGCTTTTCGAACCACTGAATCTGTGTCAGAAGAAGAGAAGTGATGGAACAGTATGATAATTACCAGAGCGATAGACAAAATCAATGAAAACACTTCATTTACTACCGCCTTATTGGTAATTTAGTATTGTTAGATTTATTAATTTATTAATTAGTACAATGATCATGTGCTAAATCGATAGTGCTTAGTTGACTGCACCCAAAATAGAATCGATACAATCATGTGCCGATTGAAATATGAGAGGTGCTACATTAAATGTTCCTTTCCAGACAAGGCCGCGTTTTTATAGACGCGTGCACTAGAGTCCGTTAGGGTACATAGTACATAATATATCGTCTTCTCGTATTAAAACTGTATAATCTCAAAACTTACTAAATTTTACAGGAGAGTATTTTAAAGGTTTAACATATGATATTTTTAATATTAATCATCTTTGCAACATTTATTTTTTAGTTTTTTAGTTTTTACATTATCTGTCTTTTAAAGTAAGATATATAATAAAATTATGTATTAATTTTGTCAATAGTAGTCAAAAAATAGGTAAACTAAAAAAAACAAAAAACTAAAACTAAGCTACGCTCTTTTGACAGTGTTTATGAGAAAAATACTGGTGATACCAAAAGATTCCGCATATTAACAGCTCAATTTCGAATATTTTTGGAAATTGTACACTTTTAATGCGAAAATACGATACGTATAAATTGAAAACGCCGTGGCCTAAAATATAAGGCTCTCGGTGCTCTTATATCGAGCGATGCGAGCGTGCCAATGTTCGAATCCCGCCGTTACCAAATTTTCACGAGTCTTCTGAACATTTGTTATTCTTTCTTTCCAGGTCCCAGTTATCTATGGAGCTATTATCGAAGGTATAGCGACCTGTCTCTGTCGGTTAGTTTCAAAGTCCTTGGGTGACTTGAACCCTCGCTTCGCCACCGCCATTGATGCCTTCATTGGCACATCGTTAGTTGTTGCCGGTAAGAATCGCTTTGATAATAATTTGGAACAATATGACAATGTATAGTACAGTTAATAGTAAGTCAAGTCAAATAGTCAAGGGTATGCTACGTTGTGTGAGTGTGCAATCAATACGCAGTAGTGCACTCACACAAATACAAATATTATCGTTATAATAATGTACTAATGCGTGTGTGGAGTGAGTTGATAATTCTTTATATATAATTTAAATTTTTATAAAATAATTGCTCAGATTAAATTATTTATATTGAAAACCCTTGCAGCAGTCGAAGGCAATTAAATACTGATCTTAGTCAAATATCAGTTTAATTAAAGTTACTGAACTCGTCGAGCTTATGTGGCTTTTGGTAAATTTAAGAGATTCGCAGCTATTTCGTGAAGTTCAAGTAAATATTTTATTACATTTTAGTTACATTTCATGCCCAATACTGTTTTTATTTAATTTATTGATTTAAAATGATTCCATGAAATAACAGTCTCCTTGTTAGAACAAAATCCCAATAATTAGTTTCAAAATTAATAAAAACTTTAAGTACTTTTACTGGTGGTAGGACCTCTTGTGGTCCGCACGGGTAGGTACCACCTCCCTGCCTATTTCTGCCGTGAAGCAGTAATGCGTTTCGGTTTGAAGGGTGGGGCAGCCGTTGTAACTATACTGAGACCTTGGAGCTTCTATCTCAAGGTGTGTAGCGCATTTACGTTGTAGATGTCTATGGGTTCCAGTAACCACTTAACACCAGGTGGGCTGTGAGCTCGTCCACACATCTAGGCAATAAAAAATAAAAAGTAAATTAAGAGTAGGATAAAATGAGTGACACTTTTTCAAGTTTGGCCATAAAACTCAAAGAAATATTGCATCAGTCTGTTAAGTACATAAGTACTCATGAAGCCCCCATCATGAGCGCGCTCGGTTCTTTCAGAACAATTATTATCTTCTACATCTAGATCAACAAAGCCATCAAAATTATATTTCACCCATTTAATTCTCACAGTCATTATTCACCGCTGGCCATAATCACTGGTGGTAGGACCTCTTGCGAGTCCACGCGGGTGGGTACCACCACCCCGCCTATTTCTGCCGTGAAGCAGTAATGCGTTTCGGTTTGAAGGATGGGGCAGCCGTTGTAACTATACTTGAGACCTTAGAACTTATATCTCAAGGTGGGTGGCGTATTTACGTCGTAGATATCTATGGGCTCCAGTAACCATTTAACACCAGGTGGGCGGTGAGCTCGGCAACCCATCTAAACAATAAATAAAAAAAAACTTCATCATTTTTGGCTTTTCCAACTTCCTTTTTTGCGCATGTCATCTATCTGCCTAATCTAGTTATTACACTATTATCTTTCTCAGTACAAAAAACATTTATAATCATATTGTCTTTGTCGTCGTACTCACTAAATATATCCTCGCATTTTTTTCCTTCCCTGTCCTCTCAAATATTTCCACAGTTCGTAACATTAATCCTTAATTTTTTGATTCCACTAAGTTTGTCTGATTTAAATTATGCTGTCTCAATCTTGCCCAGATGTTGTCAGATATATTCAAGGCCATATGCCTCCAGTACTTCAGATAAAGCTTCTTGCTTACTAGAAGTTGGATTCTATTTTATCCACCCTAATAGAGCAAATACTTGTACCAGATTTCTTACTGAGTTCTCTAAGTGTGAGTGATCGAACGATCTTCGCTACAGGGGCTATTACTCTGTAGACTGTTATTACAAATGCCCTGGCCTTAGACAAAGATAAAACCCGTTCAACCGTATCTCCTTAAGCCCTTTACTGTGATAACAGAATTATTTGGATTTTCAATTAAGTGTGTTTTAAATCGCAAATAGATAGGCACCTATTGTTTTCAATGGCAATAAAGATGAATGAATTTAGGTTTATCTAGTAATAGGCCATTAAGTGTGATTGACCCTGGGCTCCCTTAACTTTTTTTTATTGCTTGGATGGGTGGATGATCTCACAGCCTACCTGGTGTTAAGTGGTTACTGGAGCCTATAGATATCTACGACGTAAATGCGCCACCCACCTTGAGATATAAGTTCTAAGGTCTCAGTATAGTTACAACGGCTGCCCCGCCCTTCAAACCGAAACGCATTACTGTTTCACGGCAGAAATAGGCAGGGTGGTGGTCTCAGAAGAGGTCCTACCACCAGTAAGCCTTAAGCTCCTTAAGCTATTTACTTTGATAACAGAATCATTTGGATTTTCAATTAAGTGTGTTTTTAAACGCAAATAGATAGGCACCTATTGTTTTTAATGGCAATAAAGATGAATGAATTTAGGTATAACTAGTAATAGGACATTAAGTGTGATTGACCCCGGGCTCCCTTCACTGTTGCAGGGGTCCTGACTAGGCACACTGTATTCGTCTACCGCTATCAGGATAATACTGCAAATGCCGATTTAAGTGTGTCCGTGTTTTGCAAAGTACATTTAGGAAAAGGTACAGATTAATAATACAATATAGATACACGAACTGAATTGAATTTTTGTTTGTTTAAAATATATATATAATGTAATGTAATGTAATGAAAATTACGTTTGAATTTATTATGTTTATTCAATTCTACGACTCGCGTAGACATAGTTAAAATTACTTTTACGGCTTAATCTGGTGATATATCGATATATTTTTGGTAATATATCGATGCTTAATGCAGGTAATATATCTATACAGTTATTTACGGTTTTCCGAAAACCGTATAGTGTAAGTGATATGATGACAATATAATTGCGAGATTAACCCTTAAAAGTGGTTTAAAATATTATATATTTTTTGTCCGATATATTTTTGTTGAGAATCATGCAAGACATTTCTAATAAATTTAAAGTTAAAATAATGCTGCACACACAGACACATAAAGGATAAAGGATCACAAAAATCACTCTGATGTATATTCCGATATATAATATTATATACATTAGCTAATATAGCTGTTAGAGTTTCGACTATGATTTAAAAACGACTATTTTAATAAATCATATCCTAAAAATGTTCGCATTGTTATCTATATAATACGTACAATAACAATATGAAATATTCGCACCGCGCTTTTATACGATCTTATGTTTCCAAGATCTAGAATTTTATTCTAAATAAGTATAGTTTACAATGAAATGGCTCGTAGCCACGGTTTGTATTAAATACGCAATAGCACTACGTTTTGACATTTGATTAATTTTGATTAATTAATACGTGAAGCAAAAATTTTGTATCCCTTTTTACGAAAATTGCGCAGACGAAGGAGTATGAAATTTTCCACACTTATAGAGAATATAGAGAAGAAGTGCACAATGCTAATATATTTTTTAAATAATGCATAAAAGATACATTAAATCACTAAAGAAAACCTTACACACACTACATACCATGTATTTGCCGCACACACGCATGCATACTATTTATTGTCAAACTTTTGTTCTTGACGTCTGTTGTCAAATTGAAAACAGATTAAATATTGTTTGTCTGTGTTAATATTTTTTATTGTGTAGTCTTGGCGAAATTTGTGATTATAGAAGTATAAAATACAATCCTAATATAGTCGAATTTCGACTACTGCGGGACCTCTAGTTTTGATTAATGTTTCAAGTTAATATTCATTTACAAACGTAATATCCAAAGTTATCCAAACATATTAATACAGCATTGTTGTCATAATATCATTTTTAACACGTTCACTGCGGCAAGTAAAATCTTAAACCTTTGTCTGGTGCGGCAGCGGGCCAAATTGTGCCCCCAATGATTTTTCCGCCATTGCGTGGTAGGTCTTTTTCGACACGTCAGCACAAGGTTAGATTAAATTGCTATAACTTTGCGAAAACATAATGTAGGTGAACAGTTTTTGGACTGTTGGAAAAACCTTGAACCCAACTTCTTTAGATTTGATTCGCCCCGGGATCTGCCGAACAGAAAATGAGAAATAAACCAGGGAAAGTGGCGGGTCGATATCGACCAGAACCGCACTAGAAAGTATTTTTAGTAGTGATGGGAAAGACAAAAATAAGGGGATATCGAAAATAAAACAGAATTAAAGTAAAGAAATAAAAATTGTTTATTTAATTATTTATTAATGGCTGTCTTTAAAACATTTCGCACAAAGATTTTGCTTGCACATTCTGCAGTATGTTTTAATTTTTTTTACTTTCCTTTTCACCTCGGAACTCTTCATGGTTTCCCGCAGTTTTTCATTTTCTTGAAGGAAAATATCTTCTGACTGCTGTCACTATCACTATCTGCACCGCAAATTAATTTATTTTCCAAAATATTTATCTTTCTTTTGTTGCCTGACATCGTGCCTTTAATTTTAAGGAATAAAAAAAACGTGACGTACGTCAGTTCCGATAGCTTGCCCAACACTAACTGGCGAGGCGGGCGCTCTGTGCGGTATCGGGCCGCCAACAGCCTGTTGGGACGGCGGGCCACAATAGGCCTCCTCCCGCACCGAGTTGATATTTTTTACCGTCAGTGCGTGATAGGCCGATAAAGGCCTGCCGTGATGTTTTTATAGGGAACACCTATACTTTTGACCACAATCTCAAATATATATTTGTCTTTGTCGTACCTTTACAAACACCTGAGATAATCGTTCCGCACCAGCGAGAGGGACATAGTTTTCTTCGTCCGCACCAGGTGAAATTCCGCGGCAGGCTGATTTGGGCCTGTTCCGCAGTGAACGTGTTAAAATTCTTATTAAATGAAATTTAGGTAGATCGTATTTATGATCAGAATCATATAGTTGTCCTAAAAGTTAATTAGGGAACAATATGTTTATATCACAAAAGACAACTGAAGTTCGTGTATCTAAACACTAATAATTCATAAATGTTGTAACATGTGACAGTAATTTAGATACTCATTATAACGCGCTCGTGACTCAGCGATAGCATGCGTGCCCCTCATGTGAGACGTTGCAGGTTCGAGACTGGAAAGCCACTAAAGTTTTTCTGAATGTTATAACTAATGTTATTTGTAAAACAAACTATGTTCACGAACGCTCACACCGGGCAGCACGTACGCGATAAGACAGTTGTTATTGCAATAAAATGTATATGTCGATGTCTCAAGGTGGACGGACGGTGGCATTTAGATTTTTTTATTGGTTTAGCTTTAATCGTGAGGTCGGCGTCTCAATAGTATCGTGTAACGGCTGGTCAGCGGTGGAAATAGGCTGATTGTAGTATCTATGTGATCCGTTAATACAATTAAAGCTGTAATAATAGCGAATGGTGGAATTTAATATTAGTGGATGTATTCTTTAGATTTTATTAACTGAATGATTACTTACTAAGCTTAGAAGTTTTTTGGTCAAAAAATTTAGTTGGTTTAATTTTTTTATGATAAGTTATTCCAGTTACCACATCACAGAGTTCAGATCCGATTCCCGGTCGTAGTCAATATCCTTGATTCCTCGGACCGTTTAGTCTGGAACTTTCGTAATACCCTAAAGTGACAAAGGAAAATACATTGCTGTTGTCCGACCATCGAAAGAGTGCGATCAACCCAACCAAAATACAACCAACCAAATTTAGCGCAAATTTTACACACATTGCCCAATTATAATCATTTGTTAGTAGAGCAAATGATCGACACTAATACTCGTTCCTAACTATAATTGCAAACTCAACGTCAACTTACAACTACGCCGATGTTTGACCGCGACCAGCCAGAAAGGCACCGATTTATCGGCCGAACAATAAAAGCTCCAGTATTTTCTTTCGGGAGTACTTTTACCATTTAATTTATGGTTCACTAACACATTCCGACGTTCCAAACACTTCAAGTTTCCGTGGGCTACGTGGATTGCGAAGGTGATATTCGTCAATATTTAAATATTATGCTCTCACCGCCGTCAAGTTTTTTTTATAAAAACCATTTCTTGATTTGTTTTCACACAAAAAGTTTAAATAATAAAAATGGTGCGCGTGCAACTTGGTTGTAGGTACGTGAAAGAAGTGAAACTTCATGTGCGGTGTATAGTATTGTAGTTTTCTTTATTTTTCATCTATAAATTAAAATTCTCTTGTAACAGGGAATGCTGTGTATAAGAGAAAAAACCTAGCTCGCTTTGTCCATTCCCTCTCTCCACGGTTGAGTGGTTCGCGAGACGCTCTATCTATTTTCTCACTCTCGCTCTGCCTAAATTGTATCTTTTCTCTCAAGCCGTAACGAATTTGTCGCGAGCTAAATTTTACTGTCAACGCGCCTGAAGAAGTTTGTTTCACTTCAAAAACATTTAAAAAACTGTTCATATTAGAAACGTCGGAAATAGTAAAATAAAAATGATACAGACGAGATTAAACCCAAAAAAGAAGTTTTATTTATAACTAATAGCACATAATAAAAGCCGTATTGATTAAGTATGATGTACTTATGTATGTCCGGCTCATACAAACTGGTATATATAAATTCTCGACTGAATCAGACAATTTCACTACCAGCTCTGACGACCGCGACTCTTTCTGATTACATTTGTTTCGGGATTCAGAACCTAAAACTATTAAATAAAAAATCAAAAAAGTCGTACCATTTGCTTTTTCAATACATGTTTATTTTGTTCCATTTTTCATTTGATAAGAACTAAAATTCTATGTATGTACTTACATAGGTTTTCAATCGGCCAATGTATTTGTAGACTAACCCTGAATGAAACAGTTTAGTGAAGGTTTTTTTTTACATGACTAGAAATATGTGTGTGTGTGTGTGTTTTTGTTTGTTTGAGAGCGTAGTTATTTTGATATTTACAATATTCACAAATTCCATTGCGTCTTTATCGCTTAAATTAAAATTGATGTGTAGGCTGTGTCGTAATTCTAACGTGAGACAATTTTCAAACTTCAAATATTTATACACAGAACTGTGCTTTTTTTTAAACAGAGCCGTAGTCTAGATATAGGTTTTGAATTCGTCATTTACATCATCGCGACCTATTTAAACAACCTATTCAACTAACCTATAATAAAATACTCAAACTCTTTTTCGCAAAAACCACAGGACTCTCTATACCACCCTTGGTTGACCAGTCGAGAATGCCTTAAGCATTAAATCCGTGCCTAGAGTTGAAAAATAAATAAATAAATGAACCTCAATATTCCAGCTTTTGACTACTCGGGTGGATACTTCAACCCAGTTCTGGCCACCTCCCTCAAGGCTGGATGCGAAGGTCACACTCTCATGGAACACGCTGTGGTGTACTGGATCGGAGCTTGCGCTGGGTCAATTCTCTCTGTCTACATGTACAAGCTACCTGCCATCCAGAGGTACGTCAGAGGAGGCGCTGTAGCTAACGGAGACAGCATTTGGGCGGATAAAGAAGACTAAACATCGCCAACAAATGAACGAAAGAAGATATTTTTCGATTAAAAGTACTAAAAAAATCATCGACATCTTTTACAATATTTCTCTCTTTGTTTGAAAGAAACAACTTAGAGAGCGATGAATTTTAATTTAAAAAAAAATTTAAAATAAAATGGTGCGCGTGCAACTTGGTGCACGTGAAAGAAGTGAAACTTCTTTTGCGGTATGTAGTATTGTGGTTTTCTTCATTTTACACCCTTAAATCAAATTTCTCTCGTAATAGGAAATGCTGTGCTTAAGAGAATCGAACTAGCTCGCTTTCTCCTTTCCCTCTCTTCACGGTCGAGTGGTTCGCGAGATGCTCGGTCTATTTTCTCACTCTCACTCTCGCTCTTCCTAAATTGTATATTTTCTCTCTAGCCGTAACGAATCTTTCACGAATTAAATTTTATTCTCAACGTGCCTAAAGAAGTTTCACTTCAATAAAACTTCATAGTTTATAAAACTCTATTCTCTGCTTTTTTGCTCACTACGTTAAGTACTTCTTTAATTGTTGTAGATATATCTTAAACATGTAACATCTCAAATGCACTTGAATAATCTTTAAAAGAGATTTATAAACGATTCATAAATGTCACTTTACACAGAACAGAGTTTGTAAGTATAAAAAAAGGAACACAATATTCCTAACCTAAAAGTACATGTTATTATCCGCAACATGTTTCGTCAAGTTTGTAAGTTACTGTAGCAGCGCTAGGGACTTGGCATTATCTGTGAGCTAACCGTCCATTAATAGCTGTAACAATAATATACAATATGATGATGTAGGAAATTTAAAATACTATCAATAACTTTCGGGTTCTCTCTAAAAAAAATTTTAGTGTACGCCATATTGAAAGAACTAACTTAGTGAGTCATTTACAATAAGTCTCATTTATAAATCATTCTTTTAACTTATTATTACTTGTTTATTGAGATTATGTTCTAGTCAAAAATTTATCAAGAATTGTTAAGTTTTCCACTTTCCTATTTATGTATTACGTTCTGTATGTTTTATTTGAATGTTATCGATAAATTTTTTTCTAAGAGATTATAATAAGTGTTACGTACTCCCGTTGTAAATAAATTATTTAATTTTATTTGTGTTTCTTTTATTTCTATAACTTTGTACACAGGTTTGATGTGGCTGAGTAAAATTCTTAGAATAAATACAAAATGAAATGTTAAAATGAAAACCCAACGACTCTGATTAGGAACAAAAAACACTTACTTTCGCCATACAATAGTTTTTTTTAAATCTTATTTTGTTCTTAAGAAATTACGTTTAAACAAACTGTTTCATCCCAGGCTGGAACGTGGGTTATTGAGCAACCCCACAGACACATATATTTCCTGGGGCTAGTGTTAGCAAATTCAGCCCGTGAGCTCACCTACGGGTCCGCGCGAAGCTGCCACTGTCCTATAAGCTACCAGGGAATAAGTAGGGGGGAATATGAGCAACAGAGATCAGAGAGTCGACTCAACACCGGCATACTGCGCCTATCACCGTCGATGCGTAGGCGGGAAGGCTGGCGATTTATTTTTGCAAAAAAAACGATACAATTTCATTATCTAGAGGGTATCGTGATCCACTGATGACGAAAACTAAATCCCAAATAAGTTTTTATAACTAGTTTTTGATTGTCTATCGAAATCTTCTTAAGATCTATAGCTCATACTTTACGTGATATTAGAATGAAAATAATGGCAATAAGGAAGACCGAGCAAAATAAATTAGAAACTAGTTCTAGTTTAAAAACTTAGTACAACATTTTAATGTAAAACTTCTTTAGGAGCATTGAGAGTAAAATTTAACTCGCGACAGATTCGTTACGGATAGAGAGAAAAGATACAATTTAGGAAGAGCGAGAGTGAGAAAACAGACAGAGCGTCCCGCGAATCACTCGACCGTGAAGAGGGAAAGGAAAAAGCGTGCTAAGTCGTTTCTCTTATACACAGCATTCCCTATTACAATTATTAAAAGATGAAAAATGAAGAAAACCACAATACTACATACCGCAAAAGAAGTTTCACTTCCCTCACATGCACCAAGTTGCATGCACACTATTTATTTATTTATTTATGCCCTTCCGATTTTACCAAACAATTCGAAAATAAAAGCGCCACAAGACAAGACACATCCGAATAGCCAAAGATAAAACACTCCGGCGAATTGATCGAAAGTTATTTTGCAGCCCGACTGGCAACTGTAGCTGTTGCTAACTGTGTTCTGACAGGCGCTGTGTGCTTTCCCAATCACCGTCAACCCAATAGCGTGACGATAAAACCTATCTGGTATGCCGGCTTCAAACAAATGTGTCATCAGCTTCTGAAGTCTTTCAACGTAGGGACTGTTCTTCCTCAACAGCATCTCGTAATAAACAGTTAACACGTTCTCTGCAGCGCTGAGTACTTTAGCTTCATAGTTAATAGCTGTCCTCGCTTGGTAATTCAGAAAAAATCCTTGTAGTATTATCGTTACACCGTTGCGAAGTAGAGATAGGTCGGAGCAGTCCTGAAATTTTGTGCATTCCTCGGACGCGTTAGCAAAACTTAGGTATTTCTCGTCGAGTACGAAATATTTGGATATCGGTATTAAGAACGCGGGTCTTCCGGATCGCATGACGTCATCATTACTTTTCAACAGCTCCGGTGGCTCTAAAACCGTCAAGAAGTAATATAAATGCAGACTTACGTATGCTGATAAATGAACACACATAATAAGGTACGTTAAATTCAGTATTCTCTGTTTCAAAGAGAGAGCGTCTTGTAACGATGTAGTGCCGACCAAAGCTCCCCAACTGTACAGTATGGTATTTCTAAAATCCACTGCCTGTTCATCAAATTTTCGCACAAAGCACCAAACACAGCTATATATGAGGTGGAATATAACAAAAATATATAACCCGTCGATTTTTACTATTAGACTTTGCCAGGATTTTGAGGTTCTGTTTGCAACATACATCCAAGTAACGGCTTGACTGGTATAAATTCCGGAATAAGCCACAACATTTCCATAAATTCTGTAAAAGCCGCCAGCAATGACGTCCAGGCTTCCATTAAGTACAAGAGGAATGAAATCCAATTGCCCAAAAGGATTTTCTTCTTTCTTATAGATGAAATATAAATTTAATGTACCATTAAACTGGTTTACTATAACTTTGACTAAATCTAAATCCAACCCTCTTACTTCTGTTTCGTTCAGTCGATCAAACGTTTTGTACTTCTCCTTGTGATTAATAATGCCAAAAGGGTACAAAGACCCCATGCCAACATTAATAGGACATTTTTTTATATCTTTCGGATTTTTCGATGGAAATATAGTTTTTCTTTCTATTTGGCCATTAGCACAGATATTAACTATATTCGGTAGCGTTACGATCTCTTTGCAAGTTTCTTCATCAATTTGAGGTATAAAAGTCATAAATTTAAAATGATCTTCTTTATTTTCATTGAAAACGAATGTTACATCGTATTTATTTATTACATTTCCAATACTTTTCATTTTGCTTGTACAATCTTCGTTTAGGTCATCCGATACGATTATTAAATATTTAATTTTTTCGAAAACAATTTTCACGTTAAATTCAGTCAATGCTTTACAATTTTTAAAATATACAACAACTAACCAATCAGCGTCATCAACGTTAATTGTATCGTTCAAATTATCAATTTCTTCAAGTACCACTAGTTGTATGTTGTTGTTGTTCACGGCATGAATTATTTCATTATAAAATGCATTTTCTTCATCAGATTCATAGCTAACGTGCTTCAGTACTACCGTTCTTCTGAAACTCAAGTCTGCATAACAGACTTTAATGAGGCAATCAGTAGCTGATTTCGAATTTATCGAAGAATTAAGTTGAGGCATTGTAACTGCATCACCGAAATTACTCGCAATTTGTATAATAAACAAATAAAACCGTGGATATTTTACTGAGAACATTTTCTGGCGTAATCGCTTTTTATATTTCGGGAAATAAATTTCATGAGCCGGAACGAGTTTCATACTAAAAGGCTTTATTCAAAGTCGGTCGTAACGTTTTGCGATGTCAAATAAATAGGGAACAACGCCTCGAAGCTTTTAGCTTTACATGTCTGAACTTTATACTTTGTTAATTACTCTTTACGTGTTTGACGTAAGTTTCACATTTTCAGTCGAGATATGGATCGGTGATTTTCGTCGAAAAGTTCCATAGTTATTTAGGTTCTATATTTATTGATGTTATTCCTTTATTATGGACGTAATTTGTGAAAGTGTGTAATGTAAATTTTCTTTTTTATTGCTATTGTACACAGATGAGAGCATACAGCCCACCATATGGTGAGTGGTTACCGTCGCCTATGGACTTCAGCAATTAAAGAGGCAGAGCCAAGACGTTGCCTACCGTTAAGTACTCTCCACAAGCCTCGTTTGAAGAAGGACATGTCATAGTGCTTGGCAAACACCGTGGAAGGTAGCTCATTTCAAAGCCGGATGGTACGTGGCAAAAAAGATCTCTGGAAACGCACTGTGGATGAGCGCAGTGACTCCACGGTAGTGTGGTTGAAATCTACTCCGGTGGTGGGAGGTGAGATGGTAAAAACGATAGGATGGGGAACAATTCCTCAGAGCACTCCCCATGGAACATACGGTACAAAAAAAAAATATTATTAGAAAAAATTACACCTTCCTGCGGAATTCGAACACCAGCACAGTCGTATCGCTCGATACCGATGTACCAGACTTCTTATCTTTTAGGCCACGATGTCTTAGAAGTGAAAACATTTGTGAATTAAGTCTAGTAAGACTTATGTTGTTGCCTTCAATTTACAAATGTACATTTCATATTAGAGTCATTCTCGGAAATTAAGACATAATATTTCTGACACGATTACACCAATACTGTATGAGACTTGTGAATAGGGGTGAACTAATTCAATATTCACGAACATTTGTCTTACTTGACATATTCGTCGCCTAGCTAACAATACTGTGCAATTCAAATTCGGCCGACATATTTGATGCTTTAACAAATAGTACATTTATTTCTAGGAAGTATTCAAATGTCTGACAACATCCTTAAACGGTATATTAAGTCTTATGTATCTGCTGAAAATTAAGCAAAGACGTGCGTGGTATAGTAAATAATAAATAACTGGAAACAAATCACGCACGGTCATCAGGTCCCAAATTAGGATTCCTTGTGTCATGGGCACCAGAGACTTATATACATACTTATCTACCTTTAAATATACTGGGTGTTAGGAGACTGCTTCCGAAAACGAAGACAGACTATTACACAGCTATCTGACAATAGATGGCGTTGTACTTCTCGAGCGTTCTAAGTGCTACTAAATGCTTCCATATTCGTTCGATTATTCGGCGATAGATGGCGTTACTCTTACTTAGACATGTATACTAATGACACCTTTGATGATGGAGTTATTTAGACAATTAATGTTGTAAATAAGTATTTGTGCGATCGCGCGAGTCTGCGCCGCGCCCGTGCTATCTTTGATCCGAGCATCAGCTGTTTTTGATTTTGTGTTTAATTTTTTTATGTAATGTTTTTTTTATAAAACTATCGTTTCATTTAGCTATACTAGCATGAGGGAGCGTAAATAATGCTAATAAATACGTTTTAAAAATGTTTTTTTTTTTAAATCAAAATCGATTTTTTTCCCGTCCCATCATCAAAGGTGTCATTAGTATACATGTCTAGATAATGTTACGCCGGTAAGAGTAACGCCATCTATGGCCGAATAGTCGAACGAATATCGAAGGATCTAGTAGCACCTAGAACGCTCGAGAAGTACAACGCCATCTATTGTCAGATAGCGGAAAAACAATACAAGAAATGTGTGGAATATTCTCGATAATTCTAAGGATGTGGTATCGGCTATAAAAGCTTTGCAGAGATTGCACGCATTCAGCCAAAAAACAGAACTATTCGAAGCGAAACAGCGGACGGATCACCTGAAGCGAAGCGAATTAAGAATTTTAAAGTGTTTGTGAAGTGTTCTAAGTGTTGAATACACTGTATACTTGTAATTCGATAGAATTTTTTTTTTATCCCGAGCCCCAGCGCGTAACAATAATAAACATTCAGGCAAAGTGAAAACAGATCTGTTATTCACACAACGTTTGCGCAATGTGGGAATCGAACCCACGACCCTCGTCGCAACAGTTCAGGCCGCTAACTACTGTACCGATTGAGTCAGTCACGTATTGTTAACTGAAACACGATATGTCGTTTTCTATCAGATATCTCTATGATTATGCCGCGTTTCAGAGGCCGTAACTTGAAACTTTGGATCCGGAGCGGTTCGCATTTAATTTCCATGTTAATTCCGGCCTAAGCTCTCACAATCGCGGATCGAGAAAGATTCTCACTACGGCTTCAGGTAACGAAGCTGGTTTGTATGTAATCACAAACCAAACATATGCTCATGTGTGGCATACACAAAATGATGTAAAATTAAACATTGTGGCGGACCTTGAGGGAGACATAATAATATAACTGTATAATCTCAAAACTTACTAATTTACAGGAGAGTGTTTTAAAGGTTTAACATGTGGTATTTTTAATATTAATCATCTTTGCGACATTTATTTTTTACCAGTTACATTATCTGTCTTTTGAATTAAGATAAAATTATGTATTCATTTTGTTAATAGTCGTCAAAACATAGGTAAACTAAAAAAAAAACTAAAACTAAACTACGCTCTTTTGACAGTATTTACCTATGAGAAAAATACTGGTGATATCTACCAAAAGATTCCGCATATGAACACAATTTTGAATATTTTTGGAAATTGTACACTTTTAATGCGAAAAGACGATATTATATCGAACAGTGGTTCTCTGTGGGCCGACTCTTGTTTTTTTTTTTTAATTAGTTATATTTTTGGTATCGTAATCAAATCTCCATTACTCTATTCCAATTACGAAGTCCCTTTTGACACTTCTTAGAACGTAACTCTTCACGTTTCGCATATGTTCAAATAATAATCATTTTTTGTTCATGGTCGTAAACATCATTTAAAAAATACACAATCAATCTAAATCATTTTCTTTCATTGCCCGTGTAGGCAGACGAGCATACAGCCCACCTGATGGTAAGTGGTTACCGTCGCCCATGGACTTCAGCAATGCTAGGGGCAGAGCTAAGCCGCATCTGCCTATACAATTAATTCACACACACAATAACATAATAATAACATCTGGCTCATGGGACTTCGTAGCTGGAATAGAGTATAGTAAGCTCGTAATATGAGCCCGTACGTGTAAGTAAAATCCAAGGTTATCCGTCATTCTTTAGTTGTGAGCATTAATGTCTTCCCGTCTAAAGAGTTTTAATACCATGGGTCATCATTCGCAATAGCGTCTCCCTATAGTCCAACCAGAGTATAACGCAATGTTTTATCCTAAAAACATGATGAGTGTAGTTACTTCGGTACACGCGAGTCCTAGACATATTCAAAAGTACGTTTACCACTTAATCACGGCTTTATTATTTTAATTAAAATAATTCTAACGTTTCCACTTCGATTTTCTGGATCACGGACGATTAAAGTCTTATTCATCGATATTTAAATATTATGATAACCTAAATAACTAACACTACTATACTAACACATTCCGAAGACGTTGGTGTAGATTCGTATCAACGGCTGTCTTGATTAATTGTTCGTCCCCGGTGTTCATACAGGACAACGTTCGACTACATACGATTTCCAAGCTACAAGAGCCTACAGTTTTACAAGTTTTACGTCATCCTCCGTACTCGCCAGACATTTCAGCAACAGACTTCTACTTTTTTCAAACTTTGGACAACGTCTTTACAGGAAAAAATACAACACTACAGAGGCAGTGCAAAATGCTGTGGAAGAGTTTGTTGGTTCTCATACGCCTGTCTTATTCAAAAAAAGCCTTGAAAAGCTAGAACTTCGATGGCAGAGATACATTGATAGCATGGTTGCTTAAAATTTTATTTTAAATATATACAGAGAAAAGATTTTACCTATTAGTAGTGTGCTTAGTACGAGATTTTTAACGTTCTTCATAGCGTAAAAGTTAGCTCAAATTTGTATGCAGTGGAAACAGCGTCCCTAGTGGCAAATGTCCCTAGTGGCAAGCGCAGAACCTCTGCGTTTTGTACCGTATGTTCCATGGGGAGTGCTCTGAGGAATTGTTCGAGATGATACCAGCATCTCGTTTTTACCATCGCACCGCCCGCCACCGGAGTAGAGTTCATCCATACTACCTGGAGCCACTGCGGTCATCCACAGTGCGTTTCCAGAGATCTTTTTTGCCACGTACCATCCGGCTATGGAATGAGCTCCCCTCCACGGTGTTTCCCGAGCGCTATGACATGTCCTTCTTCAAACGAGGCTTATGGAGAGTATTAAGCGGTAGGCAGCGGCTTGGCTCTGCCCCTGGCATTGCTGAAGTCCATGGGCGACGGTAACCACTCACCATCAGGTGGGCCGTATGCCCGTCTGNAAAAAAAAAAAAAAAAAAAAAAAAAAAAAACCATCAGGTGGGCCGTATGCTCGTCTGCCTACAAGGGCAATAAAAAAAACGTAGACAAACGTTCCAACTCCATACAAATTTGAGTTAACTTTTACGCTATCGAGAACGTTGAAAAACTCGCACTAAGCACATTGTATACTAAATGTCAATTTTGTAGATAAAGACCTAAGATATTATTTAAAACCCAGATAAACAATTTATGGACACACAACAGCAACATAAAAGTAACAACACACTATTTGCAATTTACTTATTTTATCGCACAAATAAAAATAAAAATAATAATAATGTGAATACAACAAAAAAACTATAGAGATCTTGTTGAGTTCATAATTATTTTACTATAATTCTAGAACTCTAAATTTCATGTTTTAGTGCTTTAAAAGGAAACACAATATCACAGCCTATCTGATGTAAAAGTGGCTACTATTATCCACATTAAAAAATTTAGGTCAACATGTCAATTCTATTACACAAGGGCTCTCCCACTCTTCAAACCGGAATTCATGATGGCTTCGCGACAGAAATAAGATTCGCCTGTTTCAGTTAAATTAAGGGCATTCTTCGGCCGGAAAAAAACACTCATTACTATCAACAATTTGAATTGTCATTCCAATGTATATATATCCAATGTATATGGTAACTACTCGCCATTAGGTGGACCGTAAGCCCGCCTACAAGTGCTATAAAAAAAAAGTTCTAAGACTATTGGTTTTAAAACTTCAACTAAAGTCGATCCGGCGACTTTCTCCTGTGGAAAAAAAAGTCGAGGAGTTACTGTTGGTCTGGGAATCCGCATAGGTCTACCAGAACGAGCTGGGGAACTCGGAAGCTTAGCCGGGAGTGGTGTAAATGCCTTCAAAGATTCATATATAATTAAATCTATATTAATATATAAATCTATAGTGGTTTTTACGGATGTTTCGTTATAACTACTGAACCATGCATCCGATTGACTTGCAACTTGGTATCCATGTAGAAAATACATGTACATGGATAGGCTAATATTTATATGAGTGTTGGACTCCCTAATAATAATGACAATAAATAATAATGTTAATTTTAAATGCCCAGCGAAGCGGACGAATACGGCTAGTCTATACTAATATTATAAAGAGGAAAGATTTGTTTGTTTGTTTGTTTCGAATAGGCTCCGAAACTATTGGACCGATTTGAAAAAATCTTTTTCCATTAGAAGCCGACATTGTCCCTGATGAACATAGGCTACTTTTTTTTTTTTTTGGTTTCATTTTTGTTTTAATGTTTCCGAAGCGAAGCGAGGGCGGGTCGCTATATTAAATAAAGCATCTTTGTCGGTATTTGTATACCAAAAAAAAAGCCACGAAATAAACTAGACCATCCACCCGTATATCGTTACAATGTTGCGTAGTTTTATAACATCGAATCCAATTTCAGTTACAGCGCGGAGGGCTCTAGAATGTTCGTTCAATCATGAAATATTTCACGATAAACTCACCGACGACGACGACGGCGCTATTCGTTTTTTTTGTATTACGTGAGTACTTATTTTTACCGTAGCTTTAATATAATACTTTAGACCTGATGATTGTTTAGTAAAAACAAAATGGAGTTAAAAAAAAATTACATGCCTATTACGCGCTTTAACAGGATTGAGAATGAGAAATAGGAATGAGAAAAAAAGTCTATCTACAAAAAAGTTCGTTTCCTAGTAATCTCGGTTAGGATATTAGTGCAAAATAATAAAATTATTATATTATCGTCCGTCCTTCATTAGTGTGCAAATTTCGAAATTAATAGCACATCTTGAAGTTGATGAGAGAAATATAATACAAGATACCTTTACATAGGCAGACAGGTCAAGAAAAAAATATAGCGTGTTAAAATTGAATTTTTTATGTTATTATCAGCATATGGCGGGTTAGTTTGCTTAAAAATATTGAGAAAAACATTTCCTTTAAACATCTGGAAAAAATATTGCGGTTAATTTGCCTGTTGTCTATGATCACGGGTGAACACATTTGTTTGTTGAATTTAAATATGATTTTTTTACTATGATTTTTATTTTTTACTATATTGACGTTTACAATAACTTAATAATATACTGGTGGTGGTGCCTGAGCCTGTATATATAGATACCATTCTACCTATTTCTGTCGCGAAGTAGTAAAGCGTTCCAGCTTAAATGGTGGGACAGCTGTTAAACTACATAATTAGGCTGTATTCAGTCTTATTTATTTTTTCCGACCTATTCTAGTGACCTGGATGGTCATACTGATAGGGCGGACTAGCGCGACTATAGCAATTAATTAAAACGTAAATAATACTTGAAAACATTGTGTTTACTTGTATATGAGAAAATAATATTTCATAATGACACCGCACATCAAAAATAAAAGAACATAGTTAATTCAAAATCAAATGCAGTGCACCATAGACAAGTATACGTGGACAGCATCACGACCCTCCAACACATACTAGATTCACCGAACGAGTATGTGAGCTTACGGGGCTCTAACCTGATGCTTAAGTCTTAATTGTGACTTCAGCCTTTCATATCATTCACTTTGTAACAGATTATCACTAAGCTGTATCTAGTGCAACAAAAAAAAATGAATCGACTAATCATATAATAATTTCCAGACAACCTCAACATCGCTAGGTCGGCTGTGCCAATAGACATAGTCACAATAAAATATTCTTCCAACAAAGAAACTGGCCATTCGATCATACCCGACATACCTCAGTACAAACCGCTGATTTCCAGGAAGCAAAACATTCAGGACTACCTATCCGATTACGACCAACCGCTAGCAAAAGATTATGGTCCATATTACAATTATGAAGACAGATTTCATAGATTGAAGCATTTGCGACCTAGGGGGTCGCCTGTGGCCTTCGGCACGGACTTAGCGGCTAGGCAAATACTACCCATAATCAGAGACATGCTGTTTGGAAGAAGGACCACTAGAAGATTCTAATAGAATTTCCCTGTATTTGAATTGATGATTAAATGTTTTTATTACAATGGTTCATTAAATCCTGCGTTGGTATGACAATAGAACCAACAATAATGTTCAAACTTATGATTTATATTAATTATAGTCGAATTTCGACTAGTGCGAGACCACTAGTACATATAAGCAAATACACAGTACAGTACAAATAGGTAGTAACATTTCGGCTAAACCCATATATTGTGTGTTCATAGTGCATAGTGTATGTAATTTTCCAAATAATTTTAAACAAAAATTTCGTTATCGCGTTGTAGAAGTACCGTGTTATAAGTACTGTTTTACTGAGATTATATCTAGAAGGTTTTGGGCAATTTCTCTTTTCGTATTAGAGTGGAACCGTGTTTTAAAATACAGTGTTTATAGGTACCTTACCTGTACTTTATAGTTTTTGTGGTCATTCATCAATATTTGAATATTGTGCGTTAACTACCGTAAAATTTTCTAGTAATCATAATAAAATCAATATGATAAACGCGACATTAAATCGTGCTTTTAATTTATCATATTGTTACACCGGTAAGAGTAACGCTATCTATCGTCGAATTGCCGAACGAATATCGAATGATCTAGTAGCATCTAGAACGCTCGAGAAGTACAACGCCATCTATTGTCTAGATAGCGCAAACATACAATACTCGACTTTTGTGGAATATTCTCGATAATTCTAGGGATCTGTTATCGGCTATAAAAGGGTTGCAGAGATGGCGCGCAGTCAGTCAGTAAGTAGTATATGTCGGCGTTAAACCAGGATTACACACATAAGTTCTTTTACAATGAAAATACAATACAATTCTATAAAACTTTAACATTACTTGTTTACAACAAAAAGCCACGCCTGAGTTATTCAGTGGTTCTTACACAATTAGCCATTTTGTGTTGGTTATAGCAACTACAACTTCTTTTATACAAACAAATGTAATTACTGTGAAACAATTCACAAAACATAGCTTAATATTCAAAATACATATTTTAGTGATTTTACATGACTCACATTTAATTTACTTTACATGAATTACTTTTAAGTAATATTAACTAACATTGTTATTATCCAGCCTAATAATAGATGGCGCCAACAACATCATTGCATAACAATTACAATACTTAATTAAATTATTAGTACTGTTAATTATAATATAAATTATTATTAATATTTATGCTTTATTCATATTTAATCATTTATACAGTCATTTGTGTTTTTAAACAATAATATAAACATTAAACATATTCTGAACATTTTCACATCAAAACAGTGTCTGCTAATTATTAAATATGGTAGAATAACAGTTTTGTTGCTAATAATAAATAAATATTAACATATAATAAACTAAACTAAACTGTATAAATTATTATGTTAATTATTGCCAACAGTGGCGTTTGCGCCCATATAAACGTATGGTATAAGTAGTTTTTTTGAAATAAACTATTTTAAATTTACATTTATAAAAAATTATTTTCAATTTTTTTGTCGAATTTTATATAAAGCGTGTTTTTATTAGTTTTTTGTAACTATTATCTATTTTTCATTTTTTAGTTAAATTTTCTATAATTGCGTATTATTAAAACTATTAAGTACTTTATCATCAATTCCTGCCTTATCGACTATAGATAAAAATTATATAAATTGGCAAAAATCTTATTTTGCAAATTGCATAATGTCATCGGTCCTCGATAAATCTATAAAGTTAGAATGAAATGTGGCCGTTTAAAGTGGGTCAAAATCGCGTCTAAAGGACTCTGTTACAAACATACATACAAGTGAACCTAATATAAAGCGTGTAAAAATCACACATTTTCCTAATTTGAATTTGGAATTATCTTCTTTGGCGAGGCTTGGGGGAGGCCTATGACCAGCAGTGGACATCTGTGGGCTAATAGAATAGAAAATGGTTGCTTCTTCGAACTGGGAATTGGACTGATATTGCCACGGGATCCGTAATAATACACAACCTAATTTACTTAGCAGTTCACAAAGATGACGTCTCAAAGCAACTTTTAGTTGAACTGTAATAGGATCCCGACTTTATCGAGGTACGAGAATTCATCTCAATAGCACGCCGTTGGACCCCCTTCAAAGGGACCTTTTCACCAAGTTTTGCATTCACGGCAAAATAAAAAATACAGAAGGTATGGTATTTTGTTCGTCTTTTTTTTTCAGTTCAGCAAAATATTCAGCAATATAAAAACTCCCGTAAATTTAAATTTCGAAAGTCCATTTTCAATGAATGCCCAGGAATTCAATTAACATATGTTTAATATACTATAATTGATACAGAAAATCAGTTAATTTTGAGAACTATAATTTATTTTGATAACCAAATAGAGATCAAACAAGTTGTAGCATCAATGGTTGTTCTCTGTCGCTATTTTTTCCCACTTCGATAAAGCGGCACGACACGAGAACCATCTCAACGTGGCCGCCGGTAACTACATTCCCGATCCTGCGGACAGAATGGAAAGCAGTCGACGTCGCCCCAAACACGTCATTTCGGATCCTCCCGATCCACTAACGGTGCTTCTAGGTACCCCAAGCACCGGTCATCGTTCTCGTCGAACCCGTCGATTGCGACGAAGGGCTCGACGAGTAATTTAACCCTCAGACACAGCCCACTGAATTTCTCGCCGGTTCTTCTCAGCGGGTCGCGTTTCCGATCCGGTGGTGGATTCTGCGAAGCACGTGAGCTCACTACTAGTTAAGGCTACGCTGATATAGCCTCTCAAGGGTCTCAGCTTAGGTAGGAAAAAAAAAAGAAAAAAAAAACGTGTGGCACTCGGGAACTGCCGCGGTAAAGCTATTGCATAGCATTTTTTATCAACTTATGCAATTATAATTAGACAATGATAATTTAATATTAAAACAATAATAAAACAAGACCACGCTATATTAAACATTAATAAAAGCAAAACCTTAACTGTCCCCTTCACACACATAAGCTAGACCGCGCGAGAGAGGGATGGGCAGACTTCTCACGATGCGCATGCAGTGTGACGTCACGCCACGCGCTTATTCACAAACACTACACAAGCGCAACATGTGAATGTGTTGAACGTGAGCTCTACATGGTAGGCGGAGTGAGGGGTGTAAGGTTTTTTTCGTTACGGAATTACATGATTCGGTCGCCGCGCTCAATGCCCGCGGTAAAAGCTATGTAATAGCTTAAAAAAAAATTCGGTATTTTTCTTACGTGTTCTCGTCATTTGCCGTGAATTGCTTCGTCGTCATTAGCATCCTAACGAAATTAAAATAGTTCTAGCAACAAAAAAAAAAAAATTATCAAAAAATCATTTAAAATTAAAACTGAGCCTTCGGTGGTGAATTATTGAGCGATGAAAACCGAAAGTTTCTCTTCGAGCGAAGTATTCATCTATTCATCAAGTTTCGACTGAAAATAGTTTCAATTTAAGTTCTTAGTGTGCTGGTGTACGGACCGAGAAGCAACTTTCACAGTTCCATTGACTGCTTTAAAGAATTTTCGTCTGAAGGCATTACTCAAACAACTTTTAATAGGGTACATATAATAATAGCTGTTATGCCCTTATCGTCTCAACAACGATATTTAATTCGAAAGTACATCAACGCGACCTGTAATATATGAGTCGTCTATTATCAAAGGTGGCAATCTGTGCATTTGGACAAAAAATAATTATTGATATGTCAATACAGATTGATTTGAATATAATCGTCTCCTTCAAAGAATACGGCTCAAAACCTGCATTAAATAAAGGTTAATAGTTAACCTGTTATTTATCTAAGATGTCGTTCAGAAGAGTTTTGTGACTGCCAATGGAATACAAAGTCAATAATTCGTTTTTCTGATTTACCAATCATTGTCCAAAAGTCACATTGCCGGCTTTGATAATAGTCGACTCATATGTAATTATCTTAACTTCTATTATCTGTATTGGTTTCTGAAATTTTTTTTGGCGGGAACACAGTGAGCAAATTTATGCGAATTTATTTTATTTTGTCTATTTAATGTTTGTTCTAGTTGAAAAATGTAATAATGTTGGCTTATTAATCATTTCGTATCTTTTTGCTCCGAGGTGAGCTCACGGGCTCAATCTGACAGAATTTGCTAACACTAGCCCTAGCAAGAGCAGTGCTTCGCTGAATCTATAACCGGATGGAAATCGCGTACTACTGAAAAGATCCGCCGAGAAACTCAGCGGGTAGTGTCTATGAAAGTGTATCAGTGAAAGTACATAAGTATTAAAATGAAACAAAATCTACTACGTACGCTTACTGGTGGTGGAACCTCTTGTGAGTCCGCACCGGTAGGTAACACCACCCTGCCTATTTCTGCCGTGAAGCAGTAATGCGTTTCGGTTTGAAGGGTGGGGCAGCCGCTGTAACAATTCTGAGACCTTAGAACTTATATCTCAAGCTGGGTGGCGTATTTACGTTGTAGATGGGCTCCAGCAACTATTTAACATAAGGTAGGCTGTGAGTTCGTCCACTCATCTAAGCAACAAAAAAAAAATTAAAATCGTGACTTTTTGATATTCCAAAAAACTAATTTAACTCTCAGAAAACTGCGCCCATTTTATTGATAGGACATTTCCATCTCCATTCCATCTCATCCAATCGTAAAATTAATACATACGTTAATAAGTGACACAGCAGCTCACTTTTGTAATAATTTGGCAGCTACTGTTTGACAATGTCACTTACTTGTCACGAGGAGCTTAAAGAACAAATTAATACGTGAAGCAAAAACTTTTGTATCCCTTTTTACGAAAATTGCGCGGACGGAGGAGTATGAAATTGTCCACACTTATAGAGAATATAGAGAAAAAGTGCACAATGCTAATATTTTTTTAAAATAATGCATAAAAGATACATTAAATCAATAAAGAAAACATTACACACACTACATACCATGTATTTGACGCACACACGCATGTATATATTTATTGTCAAACTTTTGTTCTTGACGTCCTTTGTCAAATTGAGATTAAATGAAATA